ATTGGATGAAAATGTTTTAATTAGGTGTGCCACATTACTGCAATGCATGACATCTGGCTATAAAAACAATTCGGAAAAACTTGGATGCTTTGCACTTGACACCGCAAAAATGTTTATTAAATTGTGTCCATGGTATTACCTTCCACCATCAGCCAACTCAAAGTGGCACCGTGCAAAAATTTCAAGAAAATGAGCAATAAAACATTAAAATCATTGAGAGTAGCGCTACTCAACCCTGTGATGTCTACATATCATGATGAACCAATTCAAGGAGGTCAAACTGGCATTACCAAAACCTTGGCCAAGGTAAAAAGGCATTACTTTTGGAAAGGTATGACTCGATATATTACAAAGTACATACAAAAATATCTAAAATGCCAAAAAGCGAAAATAATCACGCATACAAAGACCCCATTAACCATTACTGAAACACCACAAACATCTTTCAACAGGGTAATCGTAGACACGATCGGTCCACAGCCTAAGTCTGAACAAGGGAATGAATACGCAGTTAATTTAATCTGCGATTTAATAAAATACGTTGTAGCAATACCAATTCCAAATAAAAGTGCAAAAACAATAGCCAAAGCTATATTTGAAGATTTTATTCTGAAGTACGGTCCAATGAAGAATTTCATTACGGACATGGGAACAGAATATAAAAATTCAATAATTGAAGATTTATGTAAAAATTTAAAAATAATATTAAAAACATTAATTCTACTGCACACCATCACCAGGCTGTCGGAACAGTGGAGCGAAGCCACAAAACACTTAACGAGTTCATACGCCCATTTACATATCTCAGTTGATAAAACAGATTGGGATGTATGGCTACAATACTTCGTATACTGCTTTAGCACAACCCCCTCTATGGCACTTGAGTATTATCCATACGAACTAGTATTTGGGAAAACTTCAAACTTACTAAACCATTTCAATAGCATAGATAGAATAGAACCATTATATATAGTATAGAAGAGCTAAGGAATCTTAATTTAGATTAGAACAGGCATATAAAAAAACCTGAATAATGCTAGAAACTAATAAGCAATAAGCAAAAACAAAACGATACGACAAAAATAGCTTTCGATTTTAAATTCAAAATAGGAGACCATTAATAAATATATAAATAAATAAATATATTAATTAAATATACCGGACCCTATACGGTAAAGAAGAAAGAACCTAATAATAATATAACAATTTTCAATACAAAAAACAAAACTCAGACAGTTCATAAGGATAGATTAAAAAATTTTACATACATATATATATTATTATTATTATATGTGGAGGGCGGTGCTGCCTCAAAAAGATTCCAGTGGTTGGAGAAGGCACAGAAGGCACAAGTTAACCCAGAGGCTCGAAAAGAAGAAGTCGGGGGCGTCGTGGAGTATTTTTCAAAGGCCGTCAGCTTTATTCTTCTGCATACATGGAACTGAAAAAATCTAGCTTAACATATGAAAGAGCCGCTACCGCCAGAGCGGACGATCGCCGATGGCCGACCGCTGCAGTTGGACCCGAGAGAGAGAGAGAGTGCAAGATTGTGCAATGATGCGCTCTTCAGCGCGGTTGTGCTCTTCAGCGCGGTTGCGCTCTTCAGCGTGGATGCGCTCTTAAGCTCAGATGAGCGGCGGCACAACGGCCCTTCACCTAAACATCCCGCCCCCTTGCAATCACTCGGGTTGCAACAGCTCCCTCGTCGCTACGGTTGGTGACAGGCTCCGGACACGACCCATCCAAAAACGGTGCTCTGGGCCACCGGCAGCCCGTCCTGGATCTTCAGGAAGCCCGGCTGCATGATACGCGGGTACACATCCGCGCCCAGGACAACGGAGATCGTCGCTGGCAGATAGAACCGCTCATCCGCCAATGTCACGCCTCGGAAGTGGGCACGCACCGCCTCGCTCAGCTCTCGAGACGGCGTACGAACGCGCACGTGAGGCTCGATTTTGAAAACAACCTCCAGCCGAACGCTATCATCCGTTTTGGAACCCACGGTGGCCGAACAAACACGCCGCATGCGATGCGTCGATACAGCTCGAGGGCGTTCACGGGTCGATAAGGGCCCCCGTGTTGAAGATCCGGGTCCCGGTGTCAATGCGTACTAGCGCGGTCGGCAGAACGTTGACGCTGTTCCTCTGCAGCAGCGACGATAGGGTGGGCGCAGCGGCTGCGTCCTGCGGGGCCCCTTGACGAGAGGCGGAAAGTTGCCTAGTCATGGATGACGCGGGCGGACGAGCGTTGGACGGCACCCGATGAGTGGCGGACGAAGGCCGTGGAGCACCTGAAGCTTGCCGGCCAGTGGCGGAAGAATGCTGAGGAGCTGCCGGCGAGCGCCGGGAAGTCGATGGCCGTGGACCGGCTTGTGAGTACGGCCGAGAAGCAACCGAACCGCGCCGGGAGTTGACGGACGACGGCTGAGCGCCAGCTGAGACACTCCGTGTACTGTCTCCCGCGCTCCGTGACCGGTGCTCCTCTTGACGCGGCTGGCGCCGAGCCCGCGGCTTCTTCACGAGGTGCAGCAGCGTGTTGTGATCCTGACCACACGTTCTACAGCAGTCCCCACGCCAACATGATCCGTCGGAGTGCTCGTGAGCCAGGCAGCTGGAACAATACCGGTTCACGGGAACCGCCCGGAGCCGCTTCTGAGACGTAGAAAGCGCCGATATTTCTTCAAAGAATGGATCCCACTGCAGACTCGGCATCGGTAGGACTGTGTACCTCGAGGAAGTCTGCTCTCCAGATGTATGGCTATAATACTTCGTATACTGCTTTAGCACAACCCCCTCTATGGCACTTGATTATTGTCCATACGAACTAGTATTTGGGAAAACTTCAAACTTACTAAACCATTTCAATAGCATAGATAGAATAGAACCATTATATAATATAGAAGAGCTAAGGAATCTAAATTTAGATTAGAACAGGCATATAAAAGAGCTAGAATAATGCTAGAAACTAATAAGCAATAAGCAAAAACAAAAAGATACGACAAAAATAGCTTCGATTTTAAATTCAAAATAGGAGACCATTAATAAATATATAAATAAATAAATATATTAATTAAATATACCGGACCCTATACGGTAAAGAAGAAAGAACCTAATAATAATATAACAATTTTCAATACAAAAAACAAAACTCAGACAGTTCATAAGGATAGATTAAAAAATTGTACATACATATATATATTATTATTATTATATGTGGAGGGCGGTGCTGCCGCAAAAAGATTCCAGTGGTTGGAGAAGGCACAGAAGGCACAAATTAACCCATAGGCTCGAAAAGAAGAAGTCGGGGGCGTCGTGGAGTATTTTTCAAAGGCCGTCAGCTTTATTCTTCTGCATACATGGAACTGAAAGAGCCGCTACCGCCAGAGCGGACGATCGCCGACGGCCGACCGCTGCAGTTGGACCCGAGAGAGAGAGAGAGTGCAAGATTGTGCAAGGATGTGCTCTTCAGCGCGGATGCGCTCTTCAGCGCGGTTGTGCTCTTCAGCGCGGTTGCGCTCTTCAGCGTGGATGCGCTCTTAAGCTCAGATGAGCGGCGGCACAACGGCCCTTCACCTAAACATCCCGCCCCCTTGCAATCACTCGGGTTGCAACAGCTCCCTCGTCGCTACGGTTGGTGACAGGCTCCGGACACGACCCATCCAAAAACGGTGCTCTGGGCCACCGGCAGTCCCCACGCCAACACGATCCGTCGGAGTGCTCGTGAGCCAGGCAGCTGGTGCAATACCGGTTCACGGGAACCGCCCGGAGCCGCTTCTGAGACGTAGAAAGCGCCGATATTTCTTCAAAGAATGGATCCCACTGCAGACTCGGCATCGGTAGGACTGTGTACCTCGAGGAAGTCTGCTCTTCAGTGACTGGGCGCTGCGTGGACAGAGCTACGAGACAGCGCAATGGACAGGAATATTGGAACGGAAGAAACGCATAATTATTGTGTGCAGGCGGACGCGTCCAGCGGAAGAAGGACGATTTTAGCAAGGGGCCGCTTGACGAGCCCTCGCGCGGTGCGGTTGTCGATCAAGCGGACATGGCCCTCAGATCCTGGATGGACCGCATCAATCCTGCCTAATTACCACTTATTGGACGGAAGGTTGTCCTCTTTGATGACCACCATATCCCCAACGCGGAGACTCCTTGTAGGGACTCGCCACTTTTTCCTCTTATGGAGCTCCTTGTGGTACTTTTCCTTCCATCGCAGCCGAAATTGCTGCTGAAGAGCCTTCAGGTGCTGCCAGCGGTTAATAATGGACGTGGTATCCCCCTTTAACTCGGGTTCAACCGTGACGAGAAGTGGACCTCCCACAAGAAAGTGCCCGGGTGTAAGAGCCAACAGATCAGTAGGGTCTTCGGACATTGGCGCGAGCGGCCGCGAATTTAGGCATGCCTCGATCCTCGCCAGGAGAGTACCCAGCTCTTCAAAGGTGTATATCCGCGTGACGGTGGACTTGTAGAACAAGGTCTTGAAGCTCTTGACGCCTGCCTCCCACAGGCCCCCCATGTAGGGAGCTCCCGGAGGAATGAAATGCGAGAGAAGCTGCTGGTGACTGTAGGCACCGGTCACAGCCCCTTTTAGGCTCTGGAGAAAATTCCGAGATAGCAGGGCAGCTGCCCCCACAAAGGTCTTTCCGTTGTCCGACTGCACCTGACGGGGGCATCCTCTCCGGGACACGAACCGAGCGAAAGTAGCCAGAAATTTCTCGGTCACATACCCCTTCTCGGGACAAACACCAACACATACCCCCCAAGCTCGCCCCGTATAGTTCTTTATCTCGAAAGGACCGGCATAATCCACAACTGTGTACATGAATGGGCGCGAGAAGAACGTCCGTTCCTTCGAACCACACACTGGTTATCCGCAAGATCTTGGAGAGCTACGCCCCGGCTGGCGAGATCCACAGGGTTATGTTTGAAGCGGACATGTGCCCATTTCTGCACGTCGGTGAACTGGGTGATCTTGGTCACCCGGTTGGCCACGAACGTTGTCTACTGACACGCTGGCTTCGGCGGCCACGCGAGGACAATAGTGGAGTCCGTCCAACAGTATGGGGCAGACGCGGCCCCTGGCCACTCTGGCAGAACGGCGGTGGCCATCTCCGACAACAACAAGGCACCGCACAGCTCTAGCCGAGGGAGCGACACCGTTTTAACTGGGGCCACTCGAGTCTTTGCAGTCAGCAACCCAACCTCGACACGTACATAAATAAATGCGCCGTACGCCTTCTGTGAAACGTCGCAGCACCCGAAGTGCTCGCCCTTTAGGTGTGGACGGAACGCGACCCATAGAGTAACACGAATCTGATCGAGCACCGTATAGTTCTTCAGGAAGTCAACCCATCGCTGACAGAAATCTTGAGGGAGGGCGTCGTCGTCCCCTAGATCCAGAAGCCAAATGTCCTGCATGAACATTTTCGCCCGGACAATGAAAGTCGCGGATATCCCCATCGGGATTGCGAAACAAAATACGTTGGAGCGGAGTATGCTTGGGGTCTACCCAAATTTGCCGATACATCTTCTCGATGTCGGCGTTGAAGACAAACCTAAAGTATCGCAACTTTAGGATTTGATTCGTCAGGTTGGATTGTAAGACCGGGCCCGCGTAAAGAATGTCGTTCAGACTGGTCCCGTTTGCGGACGGACTCAAAGCATTGAAGACTACCCGAACCTTGGTGGTCGTGCTTTCGGGTTTGAAGACGGGATGATGTGGAAGATAGTAGGTAGCGGAACTGCTCATGGGAGAGACCTCGGTGATGTGGCCTAAATCGATGTATTCCTGGATTACCGAGTCATAGCGGACCTTATGGGGCGGATCCCTCTTCAGGCGCTGATCATTACGCAGGAGCTGAGCAAGAGCAAAGGACCGTGAAGCCGATAGCTCGGAACCCTTCTGCTCGAGGTCGCGTAAGGGGAGCGTCACAACGTACTTGCCACACTCGTCTCTTCTCGTCGTCTGGAAAATTGTGCTCGCAAACTGAATCCGATTCCGAACTGATCTGTGTGGGCACATCTTCCACCTCCCAAAATTTGGTGAGGGGCTGATCCAGCGAGTCACCGAGGCTACGGCCAACTCGTGTGGAAAAAACGGACACGCTGCGAGGGTTGGCTGGAGATAATGGGGCTGTCAGCACCCATCCAAAAATGGTCTCCTGACCGAGAAGCGACCCGCAGATGTTAGCCCTGGTATTACCGAGGAAAATGGACGGAAGAATGTCAGCTTCTATTAACACATCGACTTGGGAGATCTTAAAGGAGTTGGGGTCTGCCAGGGGAATGTCGGGCAGCCCCTTGAGACGATCTCGCGGAATCGGATATGATGGCAGATTTCCTGTCAACTGCGGAAGAACGTAAGCCGCAGTCTCTAATTGTAGCCCGGGTCTAGACGGCGACCGAATGGAGAAATGGCACAATTTAGTAGACTGCGCGGAAATGGTCTGATTAAGACCGGACACTTGGGCTTGAATCGTCTTGAAGGGAAGCTTGACAAGGTTGAACAGTCGTTCCGTTATAAAAGTCGCTTCGGACCCTGAGTCTATCAGTGCTCGTGCCTGGAAGCTGCACCCCAAATGGCACACGTTTTTAAGGGCCGTGCCCAGTAGGACGGCTCCTGACCCGGAAGCGAAACACACCTGCACATCCGACTGATCCTCTGAGCCGTTTGTGCTTTTGGCAGTTTGTGCGGGTCGAGCCCTTGCTGGAGTAGGCGGACTTGGAGCGGACATACCTGTGGCATGTGAAGCAGGTATGGGCGGTCGTGCAGTCTCGCTGCTGGTGCCCTCGGGCAAAACAGTTCAAACATAACTGTTTCCTCTTAATGTAGTCAGAGCGCCCATTTACATCCATTTCTAGGAAACGCGGACATAAGCGAATAGGGTGGTTCTCCCTCGAACAGAGATCGCAGCCCTTTTGGCCCGGAACCACTCGAGTCTCATACGAATTGAGCCTCCGTGCAGGGGCAGTAGGAAGTCCCGACCTTGTCGGAGATTGCCCGGAGCCACTAGGCCTGACGTCGTCGATGGCCTCCAGAGTGCGATGGCGCTCTGTCAGGAAGTTATCTAATTGCTTCCATGTTGGAATTTCGGCCCTATTATGTACGGATTGCTCCCACATAGAAAGTGTGACTTTGGGGAGCTTTGAGGAAATCATAAATACTAGGAGACAGTCCCAAGCCTCAACATTGATGGCGGACATTTCTAGGGCTGTCAGACAACTCTGAATGGTGACTTGCAGCTCCTTCAGCGCGACCCCGGACTTTTGGGAAATAGCCTGGATATTGAAAAGGATATTCAACTGGCTATTGACCAATAGCTGCCGGTTCTCAAATCGATCCGTGAGGCTTTGCCACGCTGCAACAAACCCCTCATGGGTAAGCGGAGCCTTAGAAACAATGGCGTGTGCGTCATCACTTGTTTTGGACAGCAAGTGGAACAACTTCTCTACCGGGGTGAGCCGCGAGTTTTGGATGTAAATGGCCGTAAACAAGTCTCTAAAGGTAGGCCACCGAAGATAATCACCCGCAAAGACCTCGGTATCCACTGGAGGTAACTGGCAGCCTGTAGACGCGGGCGTGTGGACATTGACGGGAGCCTGAGTGGATTGGGAGGCAATTTTCTCCCGAAGCTGGGCTATACACATCGAATAGACGGAGTAACAGTAGCTGTACTTCGATTACAGCACTGTTGAGGTGGCCGCATTGTCGTCGGACACGGCTAGTAAATCGGAGCAGCTCTCATAGCACTTCTCCACCTTCTCCCAGAGTGCCCGAACTTGGTCCCGATGGACTTCGCACATGTATTGGGAGCCTATTTCCGTTTCTGGGGCGCCAGGGGTATTTATGTTAGCCTCAAATTGGCTTATTCGATCTGTTGTGGCGATGAACTTTTTCAGGACCGGGGATTGTATTGACGAATTCGTCACTCTTTGCCCTTGGAATGGCCATGGTCGCCTTAGGCTTCAAAAGAGTCGTCCGCGGAGAGGCGGATTGAGATCTGTCCAAACTGATGGCTGGGATCGGACGCTGCTTTTTGTCGTCCCCCGTGGGCATTCTTAGAATCCAATTCGCTGGTCACTTGCACAATAGGTGCCTCGTTCGAAGCGGTGGCCGGTCACACTAATGTGATGAGAACGGTGAGATCGCGGATGAATTGCGATTGCAACGAACTAGTGGGAACTAGCAACGGCGAGGTCGAAAGGAAGGTCGTGTGCGGCACAAATCGAATGTGGAAAATAAGTTCAGGAACCAAAAACAACCCAAAAGAAGACGAGGTTTGTTGAGATTGTAGGCGGCTGTTGCCTGATGCGGAGTAGAAGCAGCGCTGGTGGCACGGAAAATGGACAAGTACCGGAAAATTCGTACTCGTTCGGGAAGAATTGATGACGATCTATGTATATGTGTATATTTATATAAATGTGGCTCGTACGTAGATATTGAATTCCTAACTATTTTCGAAATTAATTGTTGCGGCGCCGGAAAGGTGTACTTGACATTGGCATGGATTTAACAAAAAATAAATAATTAATAATAATTAATTTTTGACTAATTGTCGGATTTAATTGTTATGGAGCCGGAAGGGTGGGAATTGAAACCTCGGCTTTAGTTCGGACGGAAAGTTATTATAATAACAAGCTTGTTTCTTGGTGTGATTATAGCGTCGTACAGCTGTCTTCCTTTGGGGTTGGTGAGTCGAGATTGTAATCACCACCCGCTAGAAAACGGTCACCTAATAGGTCAAAAAACTGTACAAATTCATCTTCGAAAATGGAAAAGCGTGGTGGGCAGTATACAGCTGAGAGGTTTAAGATACCGCTTCTGGTATCGATGTGTATTGATGTAGCTTGTAAATAGGCTGTTGCAAATGATGGCAACTCATAGTGCCAACCGCAATCATCCTTGCCATTAGGATGGTTTTCTTTCTAAAATATATATCCATTAAGTTAAAAATATTTTTTGTTTGTTAGGTGAGTCTCTGATATAAGCATTGGGTCAATCAATGATCTAAGAACTGCGAGACCTCTTATATGTGCTGTGAGATGCCATTCGCATTTTAGAAACATAAAAAGGATTTTTGGGAGCGCATAAGTTCCTGGAGCGTTTGCCATTGTGTTGGTTATAGTGACCATCATTGTTTATAGGCCGTTAGGCAAGTGTGTGTTTGCAGATATATGTTGGTCAGTAGTTTCTGAACTCTGGTTTAATGTTGGTTGCCACACTGACCTGCCGACCTGTCAGCTTAGATGCTGAGGCGTAGGTTCCGTTGTTATATCTTAACGCCTGTGCAAAAGAAACTCTCGGGGTCGTGGTCGATGGTATATTTGAAAAATTGTATCGTTTTCCAGGATTTTGAGCGGCAGTTATATGTTTGCCTAGTCGTTTTCTTAGAGATAGGACAACTCTTTATAGATAGTACAACGTCTGTAATTTGCAGTGTAATTTCCCCTACAATTACTATATTTTTTGGCAGAGTGGTTCTCCTTGTTTATAGGACAATAGATATTCAAGCTTATGAATTGGGTGAACTTCATTGTTTTTCAAGTGCATTCTTTCAGGCTCCAACTCTACCTTGAACATTGGCTGTGAAACTTTTTTTATTTAATATATTTCTAGCCTGTTTGACATTTAAAACCTTTTTCTTTATGTTCAGCTATAATCTCACAGATAGGGACTGTTGCTTCGATACTTTTAATAACTGCTTGTAGTCCTTAGCAACTTTTAAGTTGGTAAGCTGTGGAGCGGTTTTAACTCAAAACCATAACGGAACCCAACTTTCCATTCCATATGCATCAAGAGCCTTTACCAAGGGAGAATGTAATAAGTACGTACTAACGAACAGGAACTAGCTGCAATACACTGGGCAATGTTACATTTTATGGCAAACATTTCACTATCACAACAGATCACAGACCTTTAACATACTTATTCTCAATGACTAACCCAAACTCCAAACTGCCACTATGAGGGTAGAATTAAAAGAATACAACTTCACAGTTGAATATTTATAGGGAAAAGACAATTAACTACAAAGTATAACCGAAAATATAAATAAAGTCACTATAAGATACCAAAGTAGACAGAAATCCTGTGCAGGAGAAAAAGAAATAGACTTGCCTATAAAATATATAGAAAAAGCTGCAAACCCCCACGTACGAGTATACGAAGACGAAGTACGTAAAGTAGTGACCTTGCACGTAAAAAATATGCTATGTCTATTTAATCATGAAAAAAATTACTGCAAAAAAAATAGCTTTGAACACGTTTCAATAGATAATTTCAAGAAAATGAGCAATAAAACATTAAAAGCATTGAGAGTAGCGCTACTCAACCCGGTGATGTCTACATACCATGATGAACCAATTCAAGGAGGTCATACTGACATTACCGAAACCTTGGCCAAGGTAAAAAGGCATTACTCTTGGAAAGGTATGACTCGATATATTACAAAGTAAATACAAAAATGTCTAAAATGCCAAAAAGCGAAAATAATCACGCATACAAAGACCCCATTAACCATCAACAGGGTAATCGTAGACACGATCGGTCCACTGCCTAAGTCTGAACAACGGAATGAATACGCAGTTAATTTAATCTGCGATTTTATAAAATACCTTGTAGCAATACCAATTCCAAATAAAAGTGGAAAAACAATAGCCAAAGCTATATTTGAAGATTTTATTCTGAAGTACGGTCCAATGAAGAATTTCATTACGGACATGGGAACAGAATATAAAAATTCAATAATTGAAGATTTATGTAAAAATTTAAATATAAAATTCTACTGCTCACCATCACCAGACTGTCGGAACAGTGGAGCGAAGTCACAAAACTCTTAACGAGTTTATACGCTCATATACATATCTCAGTTGATAAAACTTCAAACTTACCAAACCATTTCAATAGCATAGATAGAATAGAACCATTATATAATATAGAAGAGCTAAGGAATCCAAATTTAAATAAGAACAGGCATATAAAAGAACCAGAATAATGCTAGAAACTAATAAGCAAAAACAAAAAGATAGATACAACAAAAAATAGCTTTAATAGCATTAATAAATATATAAATAAATAAATATATTAAATAAAAAATATATTAATTAAATACAAAAAATGCAGCAAAAAATACTCATCCAACTGATGTCCTGTGCTAAGCTGGATTGGCACCGTATAAAGGTCACATTTTCGTACACTATGAATTTAACAAAGTCCAAAGTCCAAACTGTACCAAGAGGCAAGTGTTGTCGGATGTCTCACACATATTCAACCCTTTCCGTCTATTGGCACCAATTGTAGTTCAATTCAATATACTATTAAAAAAAACTGGCTGTAAAATTTGAATTTGGACGAAAAACTGTCGAACAAATTAGTATGATTATTATTATATTATTACAAATAACTTCTCCCGGAAGATGAGGATACCAATATTATTTCTGATGTAAGATGGTTGTTAACAAAATGTGTGTAAAAAAAAAAAAAGAAAAAATAATGAATTAAACATGTTGGACAGTGAGTACGAAAATATCAAGTTGTAATAAATGCCAAACAGTGAACTCTAAACAAGAATAAGTGATACAAAAGTTGTTTATGTACATATGTGTAAAGTGTAATTTAGTTACAACGTCAATCGAGAAAATTGTGTGTGAGCCGATGCATTAGCCGCCGCACGAACGTTGTGCCAACAATTTGGTTTGTGCATTTAGTGCAAATGTTCGAATCAAGCTTCTTGTTGGATCCGATACGGTCTGACGCAGGTTCAGGGCGAACATTTGTCGACAGTTGGTGTGATACAACATGTTGTGAGGTTGGTGTTGGCTCAAATCACAACAAGTGCACAGCCATTTAGGGCAAATGGTTTGAGCTACTCGATGTCGTGTGTTGGGGTTGCTACTGCAGGTTCAGGGCGAACATGTATTACGCCGCTCCAATGACATTTCTGTATGATGTTACATGTTCAGTGCCAACATGAGGGAACACAAGGTTCAATACAAAAGATAGGAAACACGATCGTGTGTAACACGTATGTTGATTTGTTCTAACCCGATACTCGACATGTTTGAAGCCAGACGGTCTGTAGGCAAATCAAACATGCACGCTGGTCTGTCACTGATACGTGACAGCGTTGATGGTATGCTGTGAATCATGTTTGATTAGCAATGTACAAGTTAACTAAATTAACCGGGCGACGGCAATGACCGATCGTCCGAAAGTTCGCTCCGGCCAAATTGCTGGCCGCAAGGCCGTTCATAGCCGGCAAGCACTACCCATTGGAGTGGCCGCTATGAGTCTCTTTTTATGTTAGCTTTAAGTTCAGTTCAATTTTGATATTCACCGAATAAAGAGCACAAGCTCCTTCACTATAACTCCGGCAACCGCCGTTAACATTTTATCATTTACAAACTGACTGAGTCTCTAGGCCAGCAGGTTAAGAAGGGCAGTCACCCTTCCATCCTAAACATCGTAATTCACCATTAGAGAGAAATTACGAAACGGACTTCTGTACCGAGACAGCAGCGAGGGAAACCTCCACTGTGAACTTAAATACTTAGAGGGAAATAACTAACCAGACTTCTGCACGGAGACAGCAGCGAGGGAACCTCTACAATAAAACTAACTAATTTACACACATATGCACTTATGCGTTGGCGATAGATGAGCGGTTAGAAAAAAATTCTGAAACCAAATTATAACAAAAAGGGAATATATATACATATATGACGAATAATAAACACACTTATATATACTCAAACGAAACAATCAATATAAAACTAATTTATATTGCTTTATTTTTAGTAAATGAAAACACAACAACACTACATTACCGGTCTATCACACAGCACCTAATTGTGCTAAAACACAATTCGCAAGTACAACAAATATTCACTGAAATCTAAGGCTTATACTAACTTTGATAATTAATTCCAGAATCCGACTCATTGTCCAAAATAAACGGCGAGTAAGCCATTAAGTTTGTAAACTAATCTACTTTTAAGCCCCACACACACACACCCAATCACATAATTTTATAGATAGATATACACATACACCTTGAACACAGAGTAATTATATTAAAAGTTCAGTACTCGGACACCCTTTCTATTTAATGTCGACAATAAAGGGAAAACTGTTACCGAGCATCAGGACTAGAGCTACGAGTAACTTGCCTAAGAACAGTACACCAAATTCTAACGAAGACTTATTACCTAGGGCACCTAGTGACACGTCTAATATGAACTCCTCCTCTATTTCCCCACCTCCTAACCAGAACATGACTATCGACCGACCAGCCGACATTTGGTCCCGGACCAAATTAGGTTTTTGACGGTAAACCCGAGGATCTTAACGATTTCATTTCCAATGTAGAAGAGATTCTACTGTTCATCAGGGACTGATCAGATCCCCTACGGACAAATGCTCCTCAGGGCAATCAGGAACAAGATTGAAGGGAAAGCCAACGACATTCTGAAAGAAGTAGGAACTACTCAGAACTGGGGCGACATTAAAGAAACATTACTAGTTCACTGTACGGACAAGAGAGACGAGCCAACCTTAATGTGCGAACTGCACGGTTTGGCTCAAAAGAACCTCTCTATTCAAAACCTTTATGACCAGATTTCAACCTGCAATGCAGCACTCCATAGGTTAGCGGAAAACGAAGAGTCTGAACCATTATTGGTTAAGACTAAAAAACAAATGTTTTCCAGTGCAAGTCTGCACGTATTTTTGACGGGCCTTAGAGGTCCACTTGGAGGCACGATTAGGTCTATAAGACCAGAGAATCTCAGAGAAGCTTACAGATTACACAATCAACAGGGAAATAATCGTTACAAATTTAACCAACAGGGCAATAATCAGAACAGAAATGGCCAACAGGGATACAACAATAGCAACCCTTTTAATCAGAAGAATCATTCTAATACCAGGGCAATTCAAGGTCCTCCTACTCCCAAAAAACCGTCAGGAAACGCAAACTCACATTTTACCGAACAACAACAATACGAACTGCACAACATTAACGAGGGAGCAAATTTTCAAGGACCGGCCTCGATCCACAATCAGGGTACTTAAACAAAGATAAATATGGCCCTATACTTCCCTACGTAATTATCAATTTGAATAACAAACCTTTACGTTTTCTGGTAGACACAGTGTCCTCCGTCTCTTTTATTAGCCCTGATTTAATCCCTATAACAGAACACATAGAATTGACCAATCCCGTCATAATAAAGACAGTTATTAATACACACAAACTCTACACAAAGGTCGATGTTCCGCTATTTAAAGAATTCAAAGACCACCAACGCTTCTCCATGATTTTATTTCACTTCCATGATTTCTTCCATGGCTTGATAGGCATGGACATACTCTGACCAAATAACGCCGTTCTCAACCTGCCTGAATCAAGTCTCCAAACTACACTATGCAAAGAAACCCCGCTACCAAAGTTCACATAATCGAAGAATTTTCTAAGGTCGTGTTATTTTTACCTGTAAATTTGCCTAACGGCACTTTCTTCTGTGAGGATCTTCAAATTAAAACAACTTGATAATTTCCGGTGGCCTTTATGAAGCCAAAGATAATAATAGCTTGATGGAGGTGGTAAACTATGCCGACCACAAACAGAACTTTGTACTAGATTCACATTTAAAAGTCGATCAATATCATAGAGATCAATTTTTAGAATTTGATCCTAAAACCAAATCAAAGACAATCCAACCACAAAATGTAAAAGACGAATCAATGTGCATTAAATGTGATCATTTAAATGCCGAAGAAGACTCTGCTCTAAGGAAGCTTTGAAAACCAAAAACGTTCTTTTACAAACCACATTAAACTCCAAATCAAAACCACTGACGACATTCCTATCTATAATAGGCCGTTTAGATACAGTAGAGTCGAAAGTCAGGAAATCCAAACGCAACTAAACAAATTACTCGACCAAGACATACTTAAGCATAGCCATAGCCCCTGGAGCGCTCCTATATTTCTGGTGCCCAAAAAATCTAATGACCCTACAAAGAAGAAATGGATATATATATATAATATATATATAAATATATATATATATACATATATATAGAAAGCTTAACAAGAAGACCATAAAGGATAAATATCCAATGCCGAATATTAACGAAACGCTAGACAAGATCGGCCGGGCAAAATATTTCACGGCTCTTGATTTAGCAAGTGGCTACCACCAAATCGAAATGGAGCCAAAAGACTCACCTAAAACAGCCGTCACGGCAGAAGGAGGTCACTACGAGTTCATAAGAATGCCATTTGGGCTTACTAACGCCCCATCTACTTTTCAACGAATTATGGATAATATTCTAGCCGATCTCAAGGGCAAATGTTGTTTAGTATATTTTGACGATATAATTGTCTTCTCATCATCATTGCAAGAACACATAAATGATTTACACAGAGTACTCTCGAAACTAGCTGAGGCAAATCTTAAACTTCAACCGGACAAATCCGATTTTTTCCGTAAGGAAATCGATAAGGGGATAAAAACCTAACCCAAAAAAAATTCACGCCATTAAAGCGTTTCCAATTCCCAAAACCAAGAAGGAAATTAAATCATTCTTAGGCCTCTTAGGTTATTATAGGAAATTCATTAGGAACTTCGCTTCAATCACCAAACCTTTGACACAGCAACTAAAAGGAAAGACAATGGTCAAGATTGATGAAGAATACATCAGAGCTTTTGAAAAATGTAAAATCTTACTTCGCAATGACCCAATCTTACAATACCCTGATTTTACAAAAAAATTTGTACTAACAACTGATTCCAGCAACGTGGCAATCGGGGCAGTACTATCGCAGGACCAAACAGGTATAGAACGACCCGTATCCTTTGCTAGTAGAACACTGTCCGACACAGAGAGAAATTACTCTACAGTGGAAAAGGAAATGTTAGCCATCATCAAATACTTCAGACCTTACCTGTTCGGCAATAAATTCAAAATCAAGACGGACCACCGACCCTTGACATGGTTAATGAATTTTAAAGAACCGAATTCCAAGTTAGTTCGTTGGAAACTCCAACTTTTAGAATATGACTATAATACAAAAAGGGAGCTGAAAACGTAGTGGCTGACGCGTTAAGTCGCGTCGAAACTAACGTCCACGACTTGACGCCCACAAACAACCAGGACATTAAAAGCTCCAATTCCCCCCTGAACGAATTTAATTTACAAATTATACTCAAAATAGGACCCAAACCAAACAAACTCACAGTCAATATTCAAGAACAAAATTAGGAAAACCTTCACCGAAAAAGAATTTACAGAAGAAATTATGGTCAAAATTTTCAAAGATCAAATCACCCCGCATAAGACCTACGCTATTATGACGAATAACGACATATTACACATTTTCAATCAAATATACAGAATAGTTAGGTGTAACGTACTACTAAAAGACTTAACTACGACAGAGGAGCAAGACACTCTTATCAAAGAATATCACTCCCGCACAAACCACAGAGGTATAGATGAAGCACATAACCAACTTAAACGACAAGCGTACTTCCCATATATTAAACAGAAAATTGCCAAAATTATAAATAACTGTGACATTTGCCAGTCCCTAAAATACGACAGACAGCCCCAGAAAAACAAATTCCAAGTGACCGAAACACCGGAACTACCATTATCCATTGTCCATATCGACTTGTATACCATAAACGGAAAGACAATTTTAACCATAATCGAAAAATTCTCTAGATTCGCTAGTGGGTACACAGTGCCAGCTAGGGAGTGTATAAATATTGTAAAGGCTCTTACAAACTTTTTGAATACATTCGGTATACCCCAAAAAATAGTACATGACCAAGGAGCCGAATTTTCTGGGAAGATTTTTAAAGACTTCTGTTCTCAATACAACATAGATACACACATTACTTCATTCCAACAGTCTTCAAGCAACGCTCCAGTCGAAAGACTCCATTCCACGTTAACAGAAATTTACCGTATTATATATGAGGGTAAAAAGAGGGAAAAACTAGAAATCAATCATGATGATATTTTGAACGAAACTTTTATAACTTATAACAACAGCATACACTCAGCTACGAAACTGACACCTCACGAGCTCTTTACTGGAAGAAAACACACATTCCTAAGGGAAATAGAATTCAACAACGAACATGACTTTTTAAAAGAATTAAACGAATTTAGGGCCAAACTATACCCAGAAATAGCACTAAAGGCCCAAGAAAGATTCAAAATTAGGACAGACAAACTCAACTTGGACAGGGAAGACCCTATTCCTGTAGAACCAGGTGACATAATATTTAGGAAAGAAAACAGAAGGAACAAACTAACACCTTGATTCTCTCAACATAAAGGAAGAAAATGGGGCAACAATTACCACCACTAAAGGACAAAAATCACACAAAGACAAGATTAAGAGAAGAACTAAGAAGAAAAGTGACTAATCTAATTCCCCCATTTCCTCAAACTAACTTTTCACGGTGAGCCTGTTTTCGGCCCAAGAATCCCAGATTCGACATCCTGCACCCCAATCCCCTTTCTTAAAAATCAATCTAGGAGAGGCAAAGGTAATACATTCTTTCCGAACTATAACGCACACATTAGATTTAAGCGATTTCATCAAAAATATTAAAAAAATTGAAGAAAATATTAAGATTACAATGGATATGACTTTTTCCAAAGAATTAATTGCATCCTTACAAATAAAAATTAAACAATTATAGGATAGGATTCATTCTATTCAACCGAATATCAGTAAGAAACGAGGAGCCATAAATGGTCTCGGTAGTTTAGTTAAGATCATTACGGGCAACATGGATGCCGCGGATGAAATTAAAATCAACAACAAATTCCAAGAAATTGAAGGAATAGAATATAATTTGAGTAATACCATTAAGAATCAACTTATTATTAATAACAATTTAATCGATAGATTTAAGAATATTACTGAACATATAAACAATGAACAAAACACCATCAACACATTTGTAAACAATTTTAAAGACAACGTATATACTAAGTTAACACAAGAACAAAGAGAAATACACATGTTACAATACTTTAATCGCATGGGCTATAGTATAGACGTTTTAAGTAATCATCTGAATAATATTGCCGAAAGTCTTCTCTTAGTTAAATTACAGATCATTCCGAAATTTATTTTGAGTCCATTAGAAATTCAGATCATTAAAGACATTCTTTCGGAACAAAACATTAACATAGAAAATGAGGAGCACATTTACAGGCTCATCAACTTGGAAACAATTAATGAAAACAATAAAATCATTTTTAAAATTAAAGTACCGATATTCGAAAACGAAGTCTATACCCTAGCACACATGGTCCCATTACCCTTAAATAGTACACAATTTGTAATACTTCCTAAGTTTTTATTGTTCAATCCAAAATTTAAATTTATGTACTTAGAATCTAAATGCCCTAAAATTCATAATTTGTACATTTGTAATAATGCGCAGTTTGGGCGGACGAGCAACGGAGACTGCATCAGGAAAATTTTGGAGGGATGGCCTGTTACCTGCGACATGCAAGAATCCGGAAACGACGAAAATATAATCGAGCCGGAAATTGGACACATTATCATCATGAACGCCATGAACGTCAACATCAACTCTTCGTGCGGACGATGCAGATTTCATGTACCATATAACCTAAGCATTTTTATAATAAAGAGTAATTCTCAACAAGCAATTCAAACGAGAAGGTTATCATATCTTGGGACTCGGTCTCATAATTTTATTGTAACTTGGACTCAAGGACCATAACTCGTGCTCCACACTGGGGAGGAAAATGGGAATCAGCAGTTCGATGTGTAAACTACAAATTCGACGAGTCATTGGAAACAGCACACTTACACATGAGCAAATGGGCACCTTGCTCGGATACAGATAGCACCTATCTGTCACCAGCCCATTTCCTAATTGGGCGACCATTTACGACAGTCCCTGGTGCGGATCTTGGCCACATTCCTGTGGGCCGTTTGGGATACCGGCAGAGTATCCAATCGATGTAACAAGGCTTCTGAAAACAATGGCACCAGGACAAGTCTTCGGCAGCGTTGTGCTTGTCAAGGAGTCTAACTGACCACAATCATCATGGCACCTAACGAAGGTGATAGAAACGTAGCCAGGAGAGGGCCACGTCATGCGAGCAGTAAGGCTCAATATGGCATCAAGAGAATCGACCCAATAAATTGGCCAATAAAGAAAATTGCAGAACTACCGCATTCAGAAACTGTGTTTCAGCGAAAAGCTTTATTTGGTCACGATCCCCTCTTTACACTTATACGTGTACTTGATATCATACCACAACCTCTTTTACGCATCATTGGTGATGTCAGACACTAACTCTTAATTGATAGATTTGGACGCAAACACACAAACAAGGCCACGTATAACTTGTACGGTGGCTTACCACGGATACGATAGGTTATTCTAAATGGTCCACCAAAATCAACGCCGCAGATATTGAAAGGGCGAAGAGCTCGAAGTTTTAGGAGTTAGCTTCTGAATATTCGTAGATAACGGTCTCTGTTTCCGACTTCTGCCTATGTGGTCACTAAATTGGAGATATTGGATAACAATTTCGCAAAATTTTGTTTTCTTGACGTAATACGTTTTTTGAAAGGAAAGACTTTTAGACTTTTAAATTAATAAAAGAAAAAGTTATTTTTAAAACGTAAATGGCAAAGGCCAATGTATAGAAGTTAACACACCCAGTTCCCACATTGGGAAACTGCCGAGTTTCGGGCCACATCCGGTGGCCAACACACGGAATAGGGAAACTGCCGACTTTGCACTCCGGGGACAATCACCCGGAGCCCAGCCAGAAGTGGTCAACATGCGCGACGAAGAAACCGCCGACTCTGCACTCTGGGGGCAGTCACCCAGAGCCCGATCAGAAGTGGCCAACACGCGCATTAAAGAAATCGTTGACTCCGCACTCTGGAGTCTATCCCGTGGTTCCCGGCCA